CCGCCCCCCCTGGCGCGCGAAGCGCATGCGACGGCGGCTCGGGAGGCGCCGCCAGGGGGGTGCGGGGTTCCAGCGTCGACCCAAGATCAGGGGAAACGTCAGGGGGGAATCGTCGGCGGCGAGCGAGGGGGGGAGAAAGTGAGAAGGAGAAGGTCTCTTCAGAAGGCTCGGAAGTCCTCTGGCCTCCTGAGAGGTTCCCTCGGCATTCCCCGAAGGCACAGGGCATGTCTCAGAAGGCGCGAGGGGCTTCGGAGAAGTCCCGCCGCCTTCTGGGAAGGCCTGCTGCTTCTCACTTCCCCCCCTCGCTCGCCGCCGAGAGAGGCCCAGAGAGGGCTGCATCGACCCCCCAGTCGCCCATTCCTTGCCGGCAGGTTCCTCCGACAGCCCACCCCCGCCCAGGACCGCGCGGTTCCACTGTCAGGGGGGCTTGTCGCCGGCCTGTCGGCGACACATCGCCGATTCCAGCTCGTTTTCTTTGGTGCTCCGTGGCAGCGCCGCGGAGGCAGCGCTCAGTTGCGTCAGAGCTCCGTGCTTCCCCTCTCCCCCGCCAGCCAGGCCCCTCCCCCGAGGTCCCCCCATCGCGGCCCAGGAATTCTGCGGGGGCCTCCGAGGGCTGCTGTCCCAGACATCCGCCGTTGTGTTCTGTGTGAAGCCCACTGTTGGGAGCTCGTCGCCGAACCTCTTGTCTATCTATATATATATATATGCGTGTGTATATATATATATATGTGTGTGTGTACTACATTGGCGCTTCGCGCCAGGTACCTCATTCCTTGAAGTTCGGTATGCGGGCGGAATGGCAGTAAGGTCAAGCATCTAATTCAGCGGTAACTCCCTGTTGCCTTTTCCGGCATCGCCGTCATAAGAATGTACTTTGTTATCTTTCCTCCATGGTGTTTTTTCTTCGCTCTCGCCATACCCTGCGTATTCTGCCCATCCTCCTCAGCTCTTTTTGCGGATTCTCCTCCTTGGAGAGCCTCTGGAAGGCCTTCTGGACGCCTCCTGGACGACTTCTGGGGGCCTCTGGGGGCTTCCTCGGGCCACCCTGCCTCCAACCGCGGTCTCCCTGAACTACCGGGTCACAATTTGGAATACTTCGGAGGGTGTCGTGGGGCCTTCTTAGGCCGTCATGGGGCTCTCTCAGGCCATTTTGGGACCCTGTTGTGCCGTCTTGGGGCTCTATTGGACTGCCTGGAGCCCTTTCGGATGTCGGTGGGGCGATTTTCGAGCCTCCCAGGCGGCTTCGGACGCCCAGAAGACCGCCGTCCTGGATTGTCGAGAAGCCGAAAAGAGGAGAGCCTCCAAATTCACCAAAAACTTTCAGAGAATCAATGATTTTTGCCTCTTGGGGCCTTCTTGGGAGTGCTACTGGAGGCCTCTTGGGACGTTTTGAAGCCATCTTTGGGGTATGACGGCTTCTTTGGGGTCGTCGTGGCTTGTCTTGGAGCTTTCTGGGGTCGTTCCGGGAGCGCGCCGGAACGCCTGGAGCCCTCTGGGGTCGTCTTCGGGCTTTCGTGGGGTTCTCCTGGGTCGTCTGGGGGTTTGCCCGAGAAGCCTGGGGGGTGGGCCAAATTCGTTTGGGGGGGACGTTTTTTCCCGGGATCCTCGGCCATATTAAAACACCTAGATAGCAATATTTGTACATATCACCGATGCCAGCTCGGTGTTTCCCCTCTTCCCTGCCAGCCAGTCCCCCCAACGTTCCCCCTCGCGGCCCAAGAGGTCTGCGTTGACCTCCGATGGCTGAAGTCCCAGACCTCACCCGTTGCTTTTGCGTGTCAAGCAGCGGACCCAGAGCCGCTCCCGACCGCTTCCCTTGGGGCAGTATTTTTCGTCCCGCGTACGTTTTGATGACCCCAGAGCCCGATAGTTTGTGGAAGTCGATTAATGGAGAGGGAGCATGCTGCCAAATGGTTTTCAGATGTCTAAAGCATGTTTCAAACATGTCTTATATAACCATGTTTGAAGCATTGTTAGAACATGTTTTACACATGTTAAACACATGTTTATTTCAATGATGGGATTGTTAGAGTGTCCATTGACATGGCATCCACAACCGATAGCGGGCTTCCGAAGGCCGAAGTCGAGGATCAAACACCAGGGCTGAAGCAATCATTTCGTCGGACATCAGGTGATCGTTTTCTTCTTCATTGTTTTGTCGATCGGCGCGGGCCCTCGCACCTCCTCCTCCCCCCCTTCCCCACCCATGGAGTGGATCTTGGCTGCTTTTGGCGCCTGCAGGTGGAGCCTCCCCCACAGGACGCACTGCTGCAAAGGATCGCACTAGGCAGAGGTCTGGAGCCAGACGCCCCCCTCCCACCCCCTTTCCGCCCAATGTCGAAACACCGAATGAGACACACAGACATGCGACGTCCTGATTTTTTCTATACGGGGCCCCCGGAAGTCCCGACCCCTTCCCCAGGACCGGTGTCTTCATCCCGAGTCGTTTTTTGACGCTCCCGGTGCCCGGCGAGGGCCCTCCCGAAACCGAAAACGGGCAAAAACCTTTTGGTTACGACGAGATCATGCCTGGGCAACGTTCGCCTGGGTCGGCTGCTCGTAACCCAGACCCCCGACGTCATGGTTTTCTCATTACGTCGACCCCTGGAGGTCTGGACCCATTACCCTGGACCGGTGTTTCATGCCGAGTAGTTTTCTGACGCTCTCGATGCCCGGCGAGGGCCCTCCCGAGGCCGAAAACGGCCAAAAACGGGCCGTTATCTTTTTTTTTTCTCCGTTTCACGACGCAATCATGTCTGAGCAACGTTCACCTGGGTCGCTGGAGTGACCCTTTTTCGGTGCGGGCCCACGCTGGTCCCACGAGCCTTCAGTCGGGCCTGTCCTTCTACAGGAGGAAGATTCGAAAATAGTTTAAAAGTAATCATGTACGATTTTTTGATATCATTATTCTTGATTATGTGTTGGGCAGTTTTGGCTTTTTTTATTTTGCTCGTTTAAAATCCTCCTGTGGGAGGGCATGCCCGACCTAAGGCCACCCCCGCCGAGGGCCACTCCTGCGTGCATGGCCAGCCCGCATCGCAAGTAGGAGCAATTTTCCAAGGCTACACCTCCCAGACACAATCGGATCGTAAACAAGTGAGGGCGGGCAGGTTTTCGCTATGTTCGGCCCCCCCTGGGGGCCCTCGCCGGACCTCGGGACCGTCCAAGAACGACGCGGGAGGAAAAGCCGGCCCCGGGGAAAGGGTCGGGTCTTCGGGGGACGCCGGCCTGAAAAATTCAGGACGTCGCAGTCTGTGTTCGCATCCTTCCCGCGAAGCGTCGGCATGGCCTGCCAAGGCCCCCGCACCCTTACCGCGCATCCTTCCTCTGCGGGCTGACTGTAGCCGACCAGGGTCTGCTCCGTTCCTGCTCGGTGTGATTCTTTCCGACTCAGCCAAGTTTGCTTGCATGGGCGGGGGGGGCTGAACCTGAAGCATGCCGCGGGCGACTTGCACGCGTGGCAACCACGCAAGCCGAAAGGCACTTGCACGCCCGTGTTCGTCTGAAGAGGGGCGAAGAGGGGGGGGCGGGGGGGGGGGGGGGCGGCGAACGCCACGCAAGTGCACTGGCCCTATATTTTTGTGATAAAAAAAGGTCTCTGTGTCTCGCCAGGTTCCCTGCCGTGGGCTGCTGGGGCGGGGAGCTGGCGTCCGTGCGCCTGGTCTCCTGCGAGGTCGTGGAGGCGCCCAGGGCCATCCTCAGGCGGGCCGCCCCCCCCCCCCCCCCCCCCCCCCCGCGGCGGGCGCCCCCCGGCGGCCGGCCAGAGCGCCACGGAGGAGTCGGCGGCGAGCGAGGGGGTGCGTCCCTAGACACGCTCGCGGCGCAAAACAAAAAATCACGAGGGGAGGTTGTTGGCCGTTCTCGGCCTCGGGGGGGGCCCTCGCCCGGCCTCGGGAGCCTCACAAATGTTTGAAAAAAACTGCTCCAGCTGAAGAGGCGGTCCTGGGGAAATATCCGGGGAAAGGGTCGGGACTTCCAGGGGCCCGGGTTATTGAAGAAATGAAGGCGTCGCATGTCTGGGACGGTAGCTTCGCGTCGTGCGGGGAGCAGCGGCGCCGTTGTGCAGGCGTTCCACGCTGGGCGCGGCCAGCGGCCCAGCAGCGGCCATCAGGGGGCGACCTGGCGATCGAGAGGCTGCCGAGCGTTCCAAGGTTGAGCGATCCGTGCGGTGCCAGAGGTTGGCGGCGAGCGGGGGAGGGGGAAGCGAGGAGGAGGAGGAGGAGGAGGCCTCTTCAGAAGGCGGCGAGACTTCTCAGAAGCCCTCGCGCTGTCCGAGAAGGGTCTCGTGTCTTCGGGGAAGGCTCAGAGAACTTCTCGGAAGACCGGAGGACTTCCGAGCCCTCTGGGAAGGCCCGCCCCTTCTCACTTCCCCCCTGTTCGCCGCCAGATGAGCGGGAGCGGGGAGGAGGAGGAGGAGGAGGAGGAGGAGGAGGAGGAGGAGGAGGGAGAAGGTGCCGACACTCGAGGAACAAACCGCTGCATAAGCACAGTTTCCCGGAGGTCCGCGCGGACGTCTTGGATCGGCGATAGATGCGCAGCACATGTCAAGAGGAGGAGAAAGGAGAAGGATGAGGAAGAGGAGGAGGGGAGGGAGGAGGAGGAGGAGGAGGAGGAGGAGGATTCTGAGTACTGAACTATCGACGGTGCAAGGCGACATGCGGAGGAGGAGGAGGAGGAAGAGGAGGAGGAGGAGGAGGAGGAGGGAACTGGAGGGAAGGCACGAGGGGGCGGAGGAGCAGAAGGAGATGAGGAGGAGGAGGGAGAAGGAGAAGGAGGAGGCGGAGGAGGATGGATAATGAGGGTGGAGAAGGATCGTTGCAGGCTGAGTTGACAAATATCAGGCCAAGTAGTGCCTTAGCCGTAGCCTGCATGTCTGGCACCATGGCTAATGTCTGCAACAATTGCAACGATGACAGTCGATCGGCCTCCTACATAGACGGGCCCTACAAGAATCGCGCACAGCCCGTGGAGCCGTCAAGGGGTTCCATTGGAGTCTCCGTAGCCATTTTTGCTCAAGGCGGGTGCATGCTTTCGCTTGACAATCACACATATTGCTGAGCAGTTACCGTACTTGTCTCACCATGTCGGGGAAAAACGAGGCCTCGCGCTCTCCCGACGGCCCGGCGCCCGCCAGCCGCCGCAGGAACAGTTTGTCTCGAGCTGTCTCTTACGTCAGGCAAAGCCTCCCGGGATTGCCAGGCCGTCGGGCATCTCGCGCGGCTGCGCGGTTGCTCATTGCCACGCAGACGTCAAGGGACAAAGAGGTCGCCCGTGAGCGCTTGGAGGATGCGTGCAACGCGTGCTCGGTCGAAGCGCTTCAGGAGGCCATCCGTTATGCCGGCGAAAAGGACCTGGACACAGACGAGATGTATTCGGATGCGTACATGAAGGCAGTTGTCAAGCTGGCAAAGGAGGAGCGGAAACAGGAAGCACGCACACGTTTGGCTGATGCTTGTGAGAAGGGCAAGAAGGCGGGGCTACAAGAAGCCATTGGTGCTGCCAAGGAGGAGGGTCTCACGTCTGAGGATCTCATAGTGGCCGAAAACCTGTTGGAGAGTGTAGAGCGCAAATTGGCTGCGATGGGCGAGTTAAAGAAGGCTTACCTGGGTATCTTAAAGAGCAGTGATCATGGATCCGATGCCTTTCAGGCCAAGCTAAATGCCTTCAAGGTTTCCCTTGGTCAGGCAGGAAACGCAGGGTTCGACGCGGCCCAGCTGACCCTCAGGCTCGACGCGCCGCGGTGGCTGTTCGTCGGCAACCCAGGGGCGGGTAAGAGTACTTTGATGAATTGCAAGGCCAAGGAAATTATGTTCAAGTCTAACCTCTCCTCCGGCAGAGGGGTGACCTTCCAATTGGACATCGACATGGACGAAGACTGGAACGTCTACTTCGACACGCCAGGGCTTGCAGACGTCGCACTGCGGAAGGAGGCTGCCGAATCAATTTCCAGGGCCTTGGGCAAAGGCGGCAAGTTCCGCGTCATTATCGTTGTGTTGCAGCAACAGGGCCGCGTTCGCCCGGAGGACCGGACCACCATGAAATTGATCTTGGATGCAATTCCGGAGATCGGGACCCAGTACACGGTGGTCGTCAACCAGTGTGGCATTGGCGCGATGAAGAAGTTCGAGGAGAACGGTGAATTTAGGAAGACGTTTCTCAGCTATTTGTTCCAGGGCATGCCCAACCCTACAGATCGCGTTTTCTTCCTCCCAACGGTCACGGTCATGGACGGCGCGGAAGACCAGATCATGCCCTTGCCAGAACATTTCTCAAAGTTTCTGGACGAGGCACCTTACGTGGAATTGAAGCCCGGGCAGGCGAAAGAGGTGAACTCAGACACTTACGACGACGCCCTGACCAAGATCGCGGAACTAAAAGAGCAGAGCGAGGAGGAAAAACAACACATACTGAAGCAGGTCGAAGATGCCAAGAAAGCAAACGACGCGATGGCGAAGCGCGCCGAAGAGGAGAAAGACCGTTTGGAGAAGCAGGTTGCCGAGGCAAGGAAGGCAGCTGAGGTCGAGCGGGCAAAGGCGCTGAAGGCGCAGGAGGAATATCAGAAGAAGGAGAAGAAAGAGAAGGAGGAGTTCCAGAGGCAGGTGAAGCACCAGCAAGAGGAGTTAGAGAAGGAGAGAAGGAAACTGATGGAGGACGAGGCCAAGAACAGGCAAAAGCTGCAGGAAGAAGCGAGGATCAAAATGGAGGCGGCTTTGAAGAAGCACCAGTCAGACAAGGCAGCGGCGGACAAAGCGAAGGAGGAGTTGGCGAGACAGTTCGCTGAGGAGAAGCAGAAGCTGCAAGGCATGTACATCGAGAAGGTGCGCGAAGCTGAGGAAGATGCGAAGCGCAAGGAGAGGGCGATGAAGGACGAGTACGACAAATCGGTACGGCAAGCAAATCTGGAGCTTGAGAGACAGATTCGGCCCGCGGCAACAGGCGCCGTCGCGGCTCCGGCCGCAGCAGGCGCCAGCGGGGCCGCGATAGCGGCCATGATCGGGATGGGGGCCGGCGCAATCTGCGGCGGTCCAGCCGGGGCCGCGGCAGGAAGTGCTTTGGGCAGTTGGATCGGCGGTTTGTTCGGGTAAACGTATCTTCCCGAAATCAGCGACGATGCGTAGATATTGCTCTGCGTGTGTCGTCTGCGCAGTTGCTCGTGGGCCAGCGCCGCCCTCCCCTCCCCCCCTCTCCTCCCCCCTCGTTCCTTCGCAGGTCGAGCCATGAGCAAGGTAGACGCACTTACCTGTGCTCGGCCACGACTCTCTCTCTCTCTCTGTCTGTCTCTGTCTCTCTCTCTCTCTCTCTCTCTCTCTCTCTTTCAAACCGGCTTTGAGCTATGCAGGCTTGCTTGCCAGTGCTCGACCACGGACATCTTGTTTGGAAGGGAGGAGGTGCGCAAATGAAGAGAGCGAGGAGGAGGGATGATATGGGGCGCTATTCACCATCTCTCGTCCAACTCTGCGGAAGAGGGCCTCTTCAGCTTTGTTTCCATACGCTGCCCGTGCAATTTGGCACAGGGTAGGCTTCGCGCACCATGTCAAGCAGAGACCATTGTCGGTGCGGGCTCTGATTTTCCTGACAACTTCTTTCACCCTTTGCCAAGCCATGTGGCTTGTTCCCGAGCGCAGTGCTGCCAGCTTCTCCATCTTCTCCCTCGCGCGACCCGGCATATTCGGGCAGCGCACATCTCTACCCCATCCCGAGCGTGACCCAGCACACCTGGGCAGCGCACATCTTTTCTCGTCCTCCTCAGCGTGACCCGACACATCCAGGCAGCGCAAACCTCGGGGGGGGGGGGGGGCCCAAGAACACGCCCACGCCAAGAATCGACCAGAACGGGAAGGGGAAGGGGAGGAGGTGCCGTGCCCCTTGTTTTGTCCGCGGGTGCCTCCGCACGCGCAACGAAGGCCTGCGGGCGCGTTCCGCGCTCGACAAGTAGCCATCGCTATCTTGCTCTCTCCCTTCTCATCACTCTCTCCCCCCTCCCCTCCACGCTCCCTCCACGCGTGATGCGCATAGCGGGCTTCGCCTGCTGAGCTACATTTGGCTCGCCGCTGCGTTGTAGTGGATATCTCGAAGAGGAGGCACCTGATGAGGCTGTCGGCGCTGTTTGGTGCAATGTGCCACCGACCTGCTGGCAGAAGAGGGGGGCATCGGGATAAGCTATTTTTTGTTGAGCGCGCGGCTTGGGCATCAACTGCAGACCAGGGCAGCAACGCCTGTTCGTTTTGGGGCAAAAAAACAAGACGCCTTACAAGAGGGGCTCGGAAGGTCTACACTCATTGGATATATCCTTGCCGGGTTGTTGTCTGGATCGTTCCCAATGCGACGTACCGCTGTGTAGTAGTCTTCCCCTTCGCAGATGTTTTCACGGTTGCATCCAAGTGCCTGAATTCTGCAAGCGCGCCACGACCCATCATCGCATTTAAACATTGTTGCAGCTGTGTTGTCACAAGTTGGTGGGTTTCGCTGACCGCCACTTTGAGTTACACTCATGTCGTCTGTTGAGAAACTCATTTTTTTGAGCTGGGTCTCAGAATTTCTTAAACGAAAATAGGGAATTCGAAAAAGCTGGGACCAATTTCTTAAGTTTGATCGCTGTGGGTGGTGCTGGAGGGGGGTTGTGCTAGGGGGTTGTGCTGGGGGGTGGTGCTGAGGATCGTGCTGAGGGGTGGCGCTGGAGAGGGTTGTGCTGGAGGGTTGTGCTGGAGAGGGTTGTGCTCAGCACAACCCTCTCATAAGGGTCCCCGCATAGGAGGTCTCCTAGAGACCTCTCCCAGACCTCCCCCCAGCCTGGGGGGAGGCCTTCCGGAGCCCCCCCCCCAGCTTGGGGGAGGTCTGGTACCCGACCTCCCGTGGTCCTCCACCAGGCCTGGGGGGAGGCCTCCCCCCAGGCTGGGGGGAGGCCTCCCCCAGGCCCCCCCCAGGCCTGGGGGAGGCCTCCAGAGGCAGGCCTCCCAGAGGTCTGGGGGAGGCCCAGGGGGGGCCTCCTGGAGGCCTCCCCCCAGCCTCGGGGGGGGCCTCCCCAGGGAGGTGTCCTCGCGACCTGGGAGACCTCCCCAGGGAGGCCTCCAGGAGGTCTGGGGGAGACCTCTGGGAGGTCTTCCCCCAGCCTGGGGGGAGGCCTCCGGGAGGCCTCCCCTGGTCCTCCTGGAAGCTTGTGAGAGGCCTCCCCCCAGACCTGGTGGAGGACCAGGGGAGGCCTCCGGGAGGCCTCCCCCCAGGCTGGGGGGAGGCCTCCCCCCAGACCTCCCACAGGACCAGGGGAAATCTCCCGGAGACCCCCGGGAGGTTTTTCCTGAGCAGGGGAGGTCTCCAGGAGGACCAGGGGAGGTTTGCCGGAGGCCTCCCCCCAGCCTGGGGGGAGGCCTGCAGGGTCGAATCGACCCGCAGGTTAGGGTCAGCCCGTCCCGACTCGTCTCGATTGTTAGGGTCCGCCCTCTTGGCCCGACCCGATCCGCTCGTTCGGGTACTCGCGTGACAGGTCGACGATGTATTAAATTTTATAACCCGCCCGATCCGACCCGACCCGACCTCACCCACCCATTAGGGCCGGCCCGCCCGCCCGCCCGGCTTGACCTGCCCGTTACGGTGCGCCCGCGCGGTCCGACCCGTTCTGCTTGTAAGGGGCCCTTAAGTGCAGCGGGTCTGCTCCTCCTTCGGGGTTTAGGGTTTAGGGTTTAGGGTTTAGGGTTTAGGGTTTAGGGTTTAGGGTTTTAGGGTTTAGGGTTTAGGGTTTAGGGTTTAGGGTTTAGGGTTTAGGGTTTAGGGTTTAGGGTTTAGGGTTTAGGGTTTAGGGTTTAGGGTTTAGGGTT